TTTGATCATGGCCACTCGAGATTATTTCCCGAAAATTATGCTTCACTTGATTTTTAAAACGTTTGATAGTTGAAAATTTATAGTTTGAAGCCTTGATGACCTCCCGTTCCACCGACAGTAAGGTGTATGTGTTTACTAGCGATATACGATAGTCATAATTGAGCACTTTACGAAATTCTAAACGAAAATTATCGCTCAATAAGGATGATGCCAACAATATAGTGACTTAAAAAATCCCAGCTTTAATGAGAATATGATGCAATGCTGTGAGATTTGCAGGTTGATTTGCTGTGTATTTGCGCTATGAATGCATCTTCGCGCCCCCTCATAGTACAGTCTAGAATTCAATGCAGTCAAGGGGGAAGGACTTTGAACAGTAAAATAAGAGGGGGGGCAACTAGCATTCAATCAATCCCAAGTAACATTACACCTCAAATCAGTACCATATTACCACCGTGTACCAGCTCCCATCACTTATCCCTACATGTACTGCAGCTTTTTCAAACAAGGTTTCGAGGTTACGATCTCCGGAGAATTGACTACCACAGTGTAATTCGCAAAGTGCTATGGAGATTGTATGTTTTCACTTCCTCATCCATAAATCACCTAACACAAAGCACATCTTCCTACGCCCGGCCGACATTATGCCACACATCACCAACTACTACGTAGTATATAAAATATTTTACCAACTGAACACAGCCCCAATCCCAACTACATATTTGTACAGTACATACATATAATAGCGATGTACTTGAAGGGCGGACGGGGGGCTGTTGTGTGACGTATTAATTTGTGCTTTGAAAAACATTAACAGAATATTTGAGTTTGTGTGATGAATAGTAGTTGCGCAGCCCTACACTAAGACCTTCGTCGACGACTATAAGCTTACATTTAATCCAACACTGAATGCAGAAATCACACTAATATTATTTCGAACTCAAATCAATTTACTACTCGAAGGAATTACCACGAATTACTACCAGCAATGGTGCAGCTTACATAGAATACTGTTTAACACTACTTCAGTAGTATTATACTGTACTGTAGTTAGTATTCACCGTTGGTACAATTAACGTTCTACAACGTTGTTTGCCTTCGTAACGGTGTTTAACGTTAACGTTAGGTTGTACTCCTAGTACAGTGTACTTCAGGATTGTTCTTATCGTAGCAAGCAATTAGTCCCACCCACTTACTCAGGGACGTTTTAGGTCAATAGTACCAAATTCCCTGAATGAGTGGGCATTTGACCATTGAGTGGGTGTGTCACCCACTCACTCGGGGGGAATTGGTCAGTACAGTAGTAGAGTTCAACTAACTTAACGTGAGCCTTTTTCGGCTAATAGGGAAAGTGCTGTACAGAAAGGTCACGGATTGCCAGTGAATCCGGTAAAATTCTTTGTCCACATCGAGCTTTCAACGACAGAGTATCCGCCCATAAAATTGCACGCAACGCATAGTCAAGGAGAAATCTCCTTGACTTGGCACCAGACCTCAAGTACCTTATAGTACCGGTAGTAATAATTTCTCCGGAGTAGTATTGTCGATTTGATACAAATTTGGGGAGCGAATCGCGCCGACCAAACCGATCCACAATCGATCTGATTGGTTGAATTTCATTGAGAAGGTTTTGATTGGCTAATAATTTTGAGCTCATCTGAGGTAGCCAATCAAATCGATTTAAATTCCAACGACCAACCACGCCGCAACACGAAATTTCACTCGAAAGCACAATGAGAAATTCGGCTAGCTTCCGATTTTCGTGAGGTCGTACGGGATATTCTTGTGTACCCGCTCAGAATATGCATTTGGTTTGCATTTTTCTTGTTAACGTTAATATTGAATGTTGTTTCGAGTATTATCAATTTGGTACTCCGGAGTATGTACAAATTTCCTGACCCGCGAATTATGCCCATTGGTCACTCAGAAATTACTTTTCGCTGATTGGCTACATCATTTTTACTTTGTGCTTTTTGCGAAATCGGGTACGTCAATGAAATTTTGCGGCGGGATTTATGATCGCTTTACGAATCGCACAATGTTGGGAAATTTGTAGCAAATTCATAACACACTAGCATAGCTTTAGACAAACCGCAGCGGAGGTCGTGTGTATAATTTTGTGCAGCCGGTGCCTTAGCGAGGAGTGAGTCCCAATCAATCGTACACGTCACCGGATGTCCAATCGATTTCTCTTGTCGGGAAATGCAGTTCTACATCGATTTACCGTGAATTGAAAAATATGGTTTAAATATTCAAACTTAGGTAATTATAGTGGTGTGGTTACTGTAAGTATGTGACAAAACGGGGTCTCCCCCCAACAGTCTGATGAAAACTGTCCTGGCAAGATGAGCGTAAACTTTAGCCCTGGACTGACCGTAATTGCCGTTCGCACAGTCGGGCTGTGTGCAGTTTTTATTTATTTCTTTGATGGCCTTGAGTGTCTACTTGATGTGGTCGTTTTGGTGCATGGTACTGGTAACTCAGTGTCAAAACTCTAAAATAGACACGGTATTCGACATTATGAAGTGAAGAAGCATCATTCATGGATTTGATTCTTGGGCGCATTGTTGGGCAATAATAATATGTCCAAGAATCAAATACTATTAATAGTATCAAAAACTGAAATATATAAATAGTAAAGTACTACTACACCGCCACAACTTCAACTTCAACTTACGAATCGCACTTAAACCGCTACTTTATCCGGACAAACAACCCGATTCTGTCGTCATATATCTTTGGGATACCTTTCTTCACGATGCCTCCGAGCCTGACCAAGCGTTCTAAGAAGGGAGAGAACAGCGCAACCGAAGCCCTTGTGTGCGACAACTTCATCCATGGCGTGTTCACCCCTGCCAAGGGCGGAGAATACTTGGACGTGGAATCGCCGACGACTGGCGACGTGATCGGGAAAGTCGCGCTGTCCGCCAAGGCCGATGTGGATGCGGCCGTGGCGTACGCGAAAGCAGCGTTCGGGCCTTGGAGCTCATTGACTGTCAAGGCTCGCGCGGCGATCATGCTCAAGTTTCACGAACTAATTCGTCATCACGTCGACGAATTGGCCGACCTCGTGGTGCTGGAGAACGGCAAGAACAAGAGCGAGGCCGTGGCCAGTGTGCTCAAGGTACGCTGCTCGTCTCGATGCGTTTCAAAACTGTACAAACTCACAATCTCTTGGTCATCATCGTACATGTAGGGGAACGAAACCGTGGAGTATGCATGCAGCCTGCCCCAACTGCTCCAAGGCCGCGTGCTGGAAGTGAGTCGCGGCATCACGTGCCACGAAACGCGCGATCCGTTGGGGATTATCGTGTCCATCGTTCCGTTCAACTTTCCCGTCATGGTGCCACTGTGGACTGTGCCCATTGCCCTCACCACGGGCAACTGCGTGATCCTGAAACCATCCGAGAAGGTATCCGACGATCCGATGCCAAGGCAGTCCCTGACATACTTATGTAGGTCCCAGCAACCATGACCCGCATCGCTCAGCTTCTCGCGCAAGCGGGCGTCCCCCCCGGTGTCTTCCAGGTACTACCGCATGTCGTTGCTACATCCAACGTTGCATGAACATTTGTAGATCGTCCACGGCCAAGCGCCGAGCGTAACGGCGCTCGTAGACCACCCCGATGTCCACGCGGTACAAACCCAATTCCACTCGTCGTGTTTCTATCCTGACATGTCATAGGTGACGTTTGTCGGGTCGTCCCCCGTGGCGCAACTCATTTCCCGCCGCTGCCGCGCCATCGACAAGCGCGTTCTGGCGCTGGGTGGGGCCAAGAATCACTTGGTGGCCCTGCCCGATGCGTCCGTGGAGGCCACCGCGCGCGACGTGGTCGCGTCATTTGCTGGTTGTTCCGGGCAACGGTATGGTCGTTTTACCCAAACTTGGACATATTCTCGCCAAATCTCGATTTTTTGTCTATTGAATACTTTTTTTTGCATGTATACCAAGTTATTGTCCTGTGGTCCTTGTAATCACACTAATTGAAGTCGTACACGATTTTGCTAAATGTCGAGGCGTTGATGGTTTCCTGCAATCTGATTGGCTCGAAAATCGTTCTGCCGATGATTCTTGTGTAATATTGTGACTTAATTCGGTATAAATTTCAAACATTCGCGTGGTTTGTCTAATCAATATTGAATCACGGTGAGTTTTGATATTGGTTGACTAGACGTATCCTTTCTATAAGAGCCAATCAAATCCAGTCAAAATTGGATGAGCCATTCAGTGTCCCTCCAGTTTAGAATAAGCCCTATTAACAATACCAATATACGAGTGTGATGTTATTGATGACGTGATCCCGTGCTTTCTGACTAGGTGCATGGCGGCGTCGGTGCTGCTCTTGGTGGGGAATTGCTCGGCCCTGGTGGATGCTGTCGTGGCGAAAGCCACCGCGTTGACACGTGGCACTGGACCCGGTCAAGTCGGTGCTATCATCGACGGCGCTTCGAAACGTCGGTAGGATAGATCGTTACATCATGTTCGTCGCATGTGAAGATGGGGACATAGCATTTTGAAGTACATTGACGAGGCCGAGGCGGGCGGCGCCACGGTGTTGGTGGATGGCCGCGGATGGGCTCACGAATCGAAAGGTAGGTGTGTGCTCGTCTGTGTGCGTGCCACGTCATAGTGTATATTATCTAGGGTACTGGGTTGGCCCTACGGTGTTAGTGCACACCAACCCGAGCGATGCTGCGCTGCACCACGAAATCTTTGGGCCCGTGCTGTCAATCTACCAAGTACGGTGTATTGTCCATTTACTCAAAATGTGGACTCTTTTGTGCTCATTCGTTGATATCAATATCGATTCTTTTTTGTACTGACTTTTGTATATATAACTCATCCATTGTCACACTAATTTTAGTGACATATCATTCGATGTAGAATTGGTCGAATGGGAGTGGATGATGATTTGATTGGCTACTAGATTCGTGATCTGGTTTTTGATTGGTCGTATATCGATTGTGGATCGGTTGGCGATTCGATTGCCACGTTTGTATATCACCTCGACAATATATATATCGTGTAGTATATTTTAATTTATTTCAAATGTATTCCTTTGGACGTGTATGGTGTTGTGGTTTCTCGTTGGAATTTAAATCGATTTGATTGGCTACCTCAGGTGAGCTCAAACTTATTAGCCAATCAAATCCTTTCTCAATGAATTTCAACAACCAATCAGATCGTTTGTGGATCGGTTCGATTACCACCTTTGTATATCAACTCGACAATATATATCGTGTTTATTTTTATTTATTTCAAATGTACAACTTTGAACGTTTATGTATGATTATTATTACTAGGTCCATTCGTTCGATGAGGCGCTGGCGATTGAAAATGCGAGTCCATTTGGCAATGCTGCGTGTATTTACACGAGTCATGGGGGGAATGCCGAGTACTTTCAGTCGCGATTTCGAGCGGGCATGATTGGGGTCAACGTTGGCGTGCCCGTGCCCCGGTACGGATGAAACGAAAAAGACGTGAGATAGCTGATGGAATGTGTAGGGAACCGTTTTCGTTTGGAGGTATGTATGGCACGCAAAGCAAGTACGGTGATATGGACATTACGGGCGACGGATGTGTCGAGTTTTGCACCCACCGACGCAAAATCACGGCCAAGTGGAGCCCCAGCGAAGGCCAAACGACCGCCGTTTCTGCGGGAGTGACCGACCGAGCCAACTTTGCAGGACACATGTAACCGATTTGTGTGGCCACGCTTTACAACGAATATAAAGCAACGCTACTTTTGTGAACAAGACTCGTTAACGAGTACTATTAATAGTACTAGTAGGTAGAAGTAGTTGGTAGTACTAGTACTACTAGTAGGTAGAAGTAGTTGGTAGTAGTACTAGTACTACAGGGGGCGACGTTTTAAGGGACACTTGCTACTTCGAATTTACAATTTCATCGGAAATGATTGGTTGAATAATTTCGAACTTCGTTGGAAATCTCAATTTTTAGCCAATCACATAATGATTTTCACAAATTCAAATCTTATTGGCTATAATATTCTGTAACTTCAAAATCGTCGCCCCCTGTAGTAGTTTGTTGCAAAGAACACAAGACAGTAGTATTTGAGAGGGCAAATACGTATTGCTACAAGAGTAAGTATAGTAACATTACAGTAGCGCCAACCTCCCAATCTTGGAAACGTGTGTATATTAATTGTATTATCTGCTAACGGTATATATATATATGCATACCGTTAGCAGATAGTATACTATCTATAATGGACGCAACAGTCTACTACTGTACTACTTACTTCGAAGTACATGTCAAGTTAGAAATATGCATCGGAAAGCAAATAAACCGTATTTCCATTCGATATATGGACCAGATCGCATCACTGAATTGTATTTATACCCTTGTCACACATCCAACGAGATGACGAGCGATGGTTGCAATGTGTGACGAGGTTGTTAGTGCAAACAATTGCCCATGGGGTCCCACACTGGCAAGACAGTGGGCGTGCCAGTGTCCCACAAAGCCAAGTGCTTCGGCGACAGAAACTTCTTGAGCACAACCACTTGGTACATGTGCTCGTCAAACCAGTCGGCGGTCATCACATCGAAGCCCTTGGCGCCGCGACCGACGCCCCAGCTGTTCTCGACCTTCCACGCTGCCGGCCTCTCCATGTCGTCCACGGCGTTGTATCCCACAAACACCATCGCATGCGTCATCGAGCCATTCTAGCCATCCATTTCAAGCAAATATGATGGCAATACTACTACATAAGCAAGGTCGAAGTGGCCACTCGACAAATTGTCGTGGCCATTTGACAAATCGTCGTGGCCATTGGACAAGGGGGACCCTTCCCTTGATGCATATGTAGGTTGGGATAGAGACGTACGTGGAACCGCATGCGATCGGGTTTGTCGAGCGTCAAGGTCGTACCAAATACAGCGTTGAGATCGTACAAGTCGGTCGAGTAAAGGCCATACTTGTCCAATTCCGAGTCGGCATCGCAGTCGCAGCCAAACCAGACCGGCACGTCCGCGTCGAGTTGCGTCTTGGCATATTTCCACAGGTCGGACACTCCGACGTTCAAGTACCGGATCGAGTTGCCTTCGACGACATTGCCCAGCCGATCAACTACAGGACCACATGAACACTTAGTTAGGTCCTATTAGTATACTTTAATATATCAGTACTTTGAAGTATTATGAATTTGCTAAATATTTCCCAATTCTGCGCGATTCGTTAAAACAAATGTCACCGCGATATTTGATTCGCTTTCCTCATTCTGCAGAAAGCACAAAGATACAACAATGTAGCCAATCAGCGAAGTGTAATTTTTCAGATTGACCAATGGGAGCGATTTGTGATTGGTTTGGTCGGCGTGATTTGATTGGACAGGGTCCGGAAATTCGTACCAAATCAATAATATTTTTGTACCATGTTGGATAAGTTAATATATTTCTTTGAAAAGGATATCGATAATAATGTTAAATACAAGAACAATCTAAACCCATCCAAAACCATGTTTCACAAGGAACCAACACAAACGCAACTTCGAACCCCGCATCATAATCCTTGTCATACGCAAATTTCATACATTGTCGTAGAAATATAGTGTATATAATTTTTTATATAGATCTTATTTATCTAAAGGTAAAACGAGCGCTGTATTATATGATCCTAATCGATCAGTGTTCATATTGCAAATTTTTGTTAAAATCCACATACAAATACTAAAACATCTAAAAAATTGAAAGAAGACTGTACATAGTACTTTACAAATCTAAAATATATACTTCAAAAAATTATAAAAGCCAATATACAACATATCAATTGTATTTTAAAAAAAAGAAGAAGTACTCAAGATACATGCACGCATGGCGATGAAAACAAATCCAGGTATATTAACAATATACATACATTTATATTTGTAATGTAAATATATAAAACACGTACTGGTGAGGATAGAGTCCAAGGCATTGCGAGGGTCGTTGACAAGGGACACATAATCGTTCACGTCGATCGGTACAACGGACGTGACAAATGTCCGCGGGGTCAAATGAGGTACGCGGACATGCTTTTCGTCCTTGTCGTGGGCTTCAAAGTCGAACGTGGTGGGGGGAGTTCCCAGATGGATGGACAGGATGCGATGGCAGACTTGGAGCATGGGCACCTTGGCCGCTTGCAAGTCGGCGGGGGTCGCGCCCGTCGCGTGGAGGTCGCGGAGCTGCTTGGCAAAGTCGCGCAGCTTGGCGCCGAGGAGGTAGTTGAGGCGCTCCGAGTCGACTGTTTGGAACGACTCGCCATACACGTTTTTGGGGCACGCGCCGTACTTGTTGATGATGTTCACGATCATATCCCACTGCCCACCGTCGGTCGTGGGGTCGCTGAGGAAGTGTGCGACGATGCGGGTGTCCACGGGCTTGTGCGCGGTCGCGAGGATGTTTTCCAAGAAGAAGTTGACCTTTTCAAACTTGTCCTGCAATGACAAACATGTATATGTGTGCCAGAACGAACGATGAACAGTAAATATATACCCAAAAGTAAAAGAAGTTTTGCGAGATTTCAAAGTCCTTGTCCAGGTTGTACTTGGTGTGCAGCGCTCGACGAAGCAACGTTGCCGTGGCAAACAACCAGCACCTGGATCTCGAGTTCAGAGAGAGATAGTTGGGTCAAGTTTAAGCTTTCACGTGAGCGCACCGCCCCGTTTCGTTCTGGTTGCAGGCATCCATGTCCGGAAGCTTCTTGGAGAAGACATTCGTTTGCCGCGCAATGACGCGGCGATTGCACACAATGTTGCGCCAGTGCGTCGACGTGAGGCCGTTCTGGGCGATGATGTACCGCGGTTCGGCTTGGAATTCGTCCGTGAACGTCTTGACAAGGTCAAGAGGAACGCTGGAAGCTAACGACCGGCATGTAAGGCTCAGAGGGAACGCCGCAGTCGAGTCATGCAACTACCTGAGGAAGGCGTCGTCGTCGCCATGCTGTTTCGGAGTGGATCGCAAAATGGTTGTCTATTTGTATTAATATCTTACTTGGAAGTATCAAAGAGCAAAATGAGAAAAAAAAGCTCCCTAGCCGGGACTCGAACCCGGGTCACCTCGGTGAGAGCGAGATATCCTAACCGCCTAGACTACTAGGGAAAGCTATACATAGGTTTTATTTTACACAAATATATGCAAGTAATCATAATCTATATGCTGACACATTTACCAAATGTAAATTTAATTCCCGGATAGCATTTGTTGTATCCGGTACAATTTCGGATAAATGAACGTTATCCGGGAAATTTGGTGTTTACAGTTGTAAGAGCATCTCCAACGGTGTTTTTATTTCTATTTCAATTCGAAGTTACGGATATAGAATAGAAATTCTTGCACTATCCGGAGGGTTTGTTGCTATTTCACGCGAAAATAGAAATTCTGCGAGTCGAAATTTCTAAAAAGTCCGGATAGTGCCAAAATAGCAACCGTAAAAACGAAGTTTGACTTTAACCTATGCTTTAGCAATAGGTTAGAATTTACCGTTGGAGATGCTCTAACACTTACTGTGACCGTGTAACGAGAATAGTGTGGCATATGGTGCATTTCAACTAAAAGACTACAAAAAAATGCCTTGTCTTTCGACAGCTATTCCAACTTTGTATTGATATTTTTAGGAAAATAAGCCGTAATAACGATAGAACTGGTCAAGACCAACAAAAGTTACGGTTCAAAATTTCGATTGGTGAAAAATTGATCGAGAAATAGAATTTAAACCAACCAGCCTTTTTATATCGAGCCAGGCACATTTTGGCCGAAAAGGTGCATCAAGTATATCTTGGTCTTTGTATACAGCACTTATCCGTATGAACGTTTCCATTGTATCCGGATTATTCAGGATGTTTAACCTATTTACCAGATAAAAACGTAAGTTATAATAATTTAACGTCAACATTTCGTGGGTTTAACTGAATGAACTGAGGCGTTTAAACTAAAACGTCTCCTCGTGAGGATGTCCGATCTGTAGTCTTTAGATGAAATGCACCATATCACCTAATTTCCCGGATGATAGAGAAATTATCCGTAACTTCGAATAATAGTACTGTACTGTACGTACTACTACACCTTTTTTCGGTTAATTTGACGACCTCACCATACTTTTTCGCGAAATGAGCGAGCAATTCGCGGCGGTTTCGTTATATTTCGCCTGCAACCAAGAACGTTGCAGTATACAGTATTTCAAGCGACGTTCCTTATGTGTCACTGTGTATGTGCTCTATTCAGCGAGTGGCTCAATACAGTATACTTCGGGGTGCAATCCATATATTTCAATAAAAAATGTAAATCAATCTGACTTTCGACGTAAAAGTCGATCAGCCATGTCTTCCATGTTCTCCGCGCGGCCGTAGAAGTATTCGAGCCGCAACGAGCAACGGTGCAGGCGATTCACGTCGACATTGTAAATGTATAAGTTACATTTTCATCGACGATCCACACCTGCAATGACTTCGTCGGCGATATGCTCAAGGTAAGCCATACGAAACTCGTCACGAGTTTGTCCGTCAGGAGGAGGTCCCATAAACTAGGTACTTAGGGTATGTGTTGGAACGTACTGGTGTGGCAAGCGCTGCGGGAGGGGCTTGTTCCATCGTCCGTCGTATTAATACTGCAGTAGCAATTTGAGCTTCTCAGTGTGTTCGTGTTGCTTGACAAACAATAGTGAACGCGACGTATGTGCATACATACTACCTGGAGTAGTACATGTATATACTACCAGTACAGTAGTAAGTAATAAATGCAAGTGCTGTCACGAAATACTAGTACGGGTTAACGAACCAACCCGCGCTAGCCTACAACTTGACCGACAATACATACCTCCACGACGATGCATTTATATTCCAAGTTTAGTGCTTCATCGCCCCCGAGCAATTGTAATATGCTTGGGTGATGTGTTGCCATCCAGATATGGCAACTGTGGTTTGGTTGGTCTTGAGCTGGTGCCACAGGACAAACCCTGGCTTTTGGCTCGTCCCCCAGTGCATGTGTTGCTTGAGCTCGTCAGGGTAGTCTTGAATGTCTTGTCCGCCAAAGCAGTTGACATGGAGAAGGAGGTTGATCTTTTTCACTTCAACATACGCAGCATCGCTTGACAGGCCTTGCGCTATCGCGGCGGCCACGATGGCTTCTTCAAACCGCAATGTCTTGGCGTTGGCACTGTCTATTAACGGCGCCGTGATGGTATGTTCGTCTGCAAACTGCTCTGATTCGAACACGACTTGCCGAGTCGAATCGCATTTGGCGTACAAGTCTCCGAGTAGCCCGACCAGGTTGTAGCTATACCCCAGGGTTCTGGCATCTGTGAGCTTGAAGTACTCACTCGGCAGTGGCTTGAAGAAGTGACCGATAAGGGGATCGTCGTCCACTGGAATCGGCACGTTGTCGTCTAGATCGACGTGACTTCGCATGAGAATCGCCGTGGTCGGCCCCACAGGTTGTGGTGCGCCGTCGCCATAGTTGACCGTACATCCCTGAAACGAACTTGGATGTGTCTGTTGTCCTATCGGGTCCAAGTTCAACGGTTCGACTTTGCAGTGGTAAAACACAGTGTGGAGGACGTCCACCATTGCATGGTGCAGATAGAAGATCGGGTCCTGGGGGGATAGGAACCCGTTACCCATCTGCCCGCGTAGCTCCATGTGGACGGACCCGTGGATGCCGATCTCCAAGTCGTACGACACAGCGGCGATCGATGGACCGACGTCAAATAACGACGACCGCGCGTTCGAAATGCTCCAGTCCGGCATGGCCGTGGCGTGCCAGTCACCGCGCCGGACGCATCCCCCGACAGACGCATTCAGCGGCCGCGACGTGACGCACAGGGTGGAGTGTCCCGGGTCTGCCGGCTGCGGGTCGCGACCGTGGGTGGACCCGCCCAAGTCTGCAGTCGCCACGGAGCAGTCGGCGATGGTTTTGCACTGGGAAGTCTGAAACCGAACGTAGTCTTGGGTGTAGTCCCAGTACGCCAACGTCATGCAAGCGTATGCAGGGGCGAGGCTGCGCAGCATGTCTTCGAACGCCACCAAGAACTTGCGATGCCAAAATAAAAATACACACGTCCCGTGCGCTTCCTTGTTGGCTTTCAAGTCGTTGTGCACCGATAGAAAACGCTGGTACAGACCCCGCTTCATGGACTCTTCAACTGCGCTAATGTACAACTCCTTCTCCGCTGCCGACGACGCACTCCATGCTTTACGCTGCCGCTTGCCACAGCTGACAACTGGAGTTGGGGTGGGGGGAGATAGCGGGGGTGAAGGTGTAGGTGTTGGAGTAGTCGTTGTTGGTGGGGGGGTAGTCAGAGGAGGAGTAGTTGTTGGTCTTGGCGTAAAAGTAGTGGGGGGTGGAGGGGTGGTGACGACTACCATGGACCGAGCCCCCCACGACACTTGACGGGCCCCTTGCGTCGACTTGAGATAACATGTACCCCATGCCCACGTGAACAGTGCGCATCCAGATGTCGCGCGACACACGTCGCAGCATTCCTCGGCGGTGGACTTGGCCGCGGCAATCAAGTCACCTCCAGGGAAGTCCACATTGTCCTCGATGGCTGCGCAAGTGGGAGCGAACGTCGAGCGAGCGGATGCCACGGCTCCCGGTAGCGCGGACGACCTTCCCTTGGCCGACTTGAGGTAGCAATTGCCTTGGTAGAACACATAGACGTTGCATGATGGGAACAAGCTGCACGCATCGCAGCACTGCGCTGTCGACGACGAGCCAGGAATGGTGGCTACGTCCATCCCGGCGTAGTCGATGTCTTGAACTGGAGGGTAACATTGCCCTGGGAGTGGTCGCGACGTTGTGATGGGCGGCGGTGCTGTAGTGGTTGTGGGTGGATCTACCGAGGCCACGACTACAGCTGAGTGAACTCCCGCCTTGGCTAAGCGAGTGCCTTGGGTATGCTTCAAGTAGCACGTGCCATACGCGTACGAGTACAGTTTGCAGTCGGTCGTGGCTTTGCAATGGCCGCAGCAGTCGTTGACAGTAGACGCAGCCACAGCTTTCAAATCCCCACCGGCGTAATCAATGTCGTTTTCAATGGACGGGCAGGTAGCCACCGTCCCGGACTGAACGCCAGGGGTACGAACTGACGACCCTTTGGCCGATTTGAGGTAACATGTGCCATACGCATACGAGAACGCCAGGCAGTTGGGCGTAGCCGCACAGATGCCGCAGCAGTTCTCGGCGGCAGTGGAGGGGATGCCGTGGATATCATTGCCTGGATAGTCCACGTCCACTTCAATGGGTGGACATGATTGCTGCAAAGCCGGTTGTGCCGCAAGGGCGAGCAAGATGAGCGCGACAGAGTACTGCCCAAGTCGAAAGAGGTACGCCATTTGAAAATGGTCAGTGTGCGTCCCACACGAAAAGAAACTACCGGTACGCATTGAAGACAGGCAGGCGGTATCTCTGTACCATCGCGCGATCGTGATATTTTGGTGGTTGTGATGAGCGAAACCAGCCAATCCGAGAAGAGTAAACATCTCATTGACCAATCCAGGAGGCTGAAAGTGATCGAATTTCGAAGGACGAGTTTTCATTTTGTTTGAAGGTGACGTATTGTTGTAACGTTACAGTATTACTTCGTTAGCGTTATTACTCCGGAGTACTGTACAGTACAGTACGACTCCGTCCCAAATTACCTCAAGTTTCAACCTCGACTCACCTCAAATTTTGACTCATTTGCCCAATTTCTACGAAAATTGTACCAATGAGAGCTGGGAATTCGGTGTTTTGCTTGCTCATATTTATATTACAGGTTTGTTGGATAATGTACACACTACTCCGGAGTATCATCAAAATAATATTCCTCAGCGCAGAATTTAAATCACTCACTGGACTTGATAATGTATGGTCCTACCGTAGAGCGATGTACGTATTGTGCCACATCGTAGAAAACCACGCCATCTTCTTGTTCCATCGCATAGTACATGCAGGTACGTTTACTACGCGATGGAATTAATAGCCAAGGGTATTTCTCAGGATCGTCCATACCTGTCCGATATTTCTCAAGATCGTCCATCGAGAAATACTATTATCTATTATTCGGGAAAGCAATTCCATTGGTCGAAAGTAAATCGAGTCAAATGTAAAACCACTCGAACTTATTTCACGTTTTGCGGCCGACCATAGACTTTTGGGCAGGCGACAGTTGCGCACAGCCGTCCTGGTCCGACGATGCGACACCGGACACATGAGGTAGCGATTGCCATTCACTCTACCGGTATGCCAGGCTCATCCTCTTGCCGTAGCAGCACATCAAGCTGTCAATGCCCGCGCCGCGGCGACCTTGCGCATGAACCCGGACACACGCGCACGGCCATCGCGGCGCAGACATTGACCGGACCATGGGTCTCGCTCGCCTCCTGGCAGACTCGTCACCACCATGCGCGCCGGTCACCACCATGCTCGCCGGACACCACTCGACCGGACCTGTCCTTTGTGTTGGACGGCAACAAAGGCCGGTACGCTCTGTGGCCCAAGAAGGCCCTCGACAAGTTCCGTCACGTCGGGTGCCCCCGGCAAGCAGCCATGAAGATGAGGTATGTGTGCGTTTGTGATGACAACTCAATGACTATTCCATTTGCTAGAACCTGCACCAAGTCCCTGTGGAAGGCACAGTCCGAACTTGTGGCGTAATGGAAGCGCGCCTGCTTGCAGGAGGTCTGGGTTCGATTCCCAGCAATGCCATGGCTTTTGTTGTAGCTTTGGTATCTTTGTGAGATTTACTGTGAACCCATACGCTCTCGTGTTTGGTGATTGCACTTGCTTCTTGGCGTGGTGTGATTATAAAGGGTGCATGAAGGTCGTGGTGGCGATTGAGTGACAGAGGCATCGAAGTGTTTTGGCATTTTACATGATAAGCAGACTCTCAAAATATATATTTGCATGATAATATTTCACGAGTGTAGGAAGAGACTCTCAAAACAAATATTTTCTATATAATATTTCACGAGACTTATCTTTAAACGATACGGTACGGGTTGTTTTGCATCATGCTACATGGGCATCACCGGAGTACGGAACATTTGAACCATCATGAGCCCACCAAACGATGTACTTTTGGGGATATGTATTTGCATCAGTTGATGTAGTCATGCTTGGCACGCTATAGGGACGATCGTTCTCCCTGGTGATGACACCACCTCGGAATTCCATTTTTTTCGTCACAATTCGACGAATCCTGTTGCTCATAACACTGACTTTCATCGGGTGCCCGGGGTTCGAATCCCGGTGAGTTCAATTATTTTTCTACGAAAATAACAAGGCGAAAAAAAACAAATATAAATTGCAACCAAAACTTAATGCAAACATGATAGCACTTTCTCGAGAGTGTAGGTTTCCTCGGGAAAGACATCCAAGTGTCGGAAATGCACTGGGATTGACCACAACAGGGCCACATGCAGCAAACACAGCGCCAGCGAAGAGGCTGCTCAACCTGCACTGCCGGCTGGTTCGTCGTACGACGGCTTTCATCGAGTTGCCGTGTATGCGCCTATGAACATGGCAGACATTCTCCACGAGAATTCGAGTGATCACGATCAACCTGAAGTCACCAGTAACTCGACTGACGAACAATCCTCATTACGTGCAGCACAATAAGACCAAAACAACTTTGAATCCATAACAAAACTTTACAATTAATGCTTGCACAAAACACACTTCCTTCACAACACAACAGCTTGTCGTCCTTGTCTTCCAAGTCTCGAGTGACGACGTGCGACAGGCGCCACGCAGAGTACGACAAGCCATGGCATTGCTGGGA